GTTTCTTATAATTTTTAGGCATAATACATAAATATGTTATTTAACTTGGCCTCAGCTAACATCTATACCCTTTAACTTTGGGTGTATATAATTAGTAGACACTTAAACTTGTATAAATTTGAACAAGACGATATACTCGTCATATGTGACATAGTACACGGGAGGTGCCACATAAGACGTCAAGTAGGACATGTGTCTTCTTGTTTAATTCTATACAAATTTTAAGTATCTACTTGTGCACACTTCAAATTGGAGGACATAAATGTCAGATGAAGTAAGTTAAAGGTCATGTTTATGTATTATCACAATTTTTTTAAGAGAGCCCAAAACATAAATAATGCCTATCCTTTTTAAAGTGAAGCAGCATTCCACAATCCACACAGCCCTTTTAGAATTAAAGTTATCGCTGCAGGTCTGGGGTAAGTTGAACTATTTTAGTTGAGGCTAATTGTTTCTAATCATTTTGATTTATGAATAATTTCTCATCTTTAATATTTAATTATTTGATGGTTACATGTTTGTGCAGTTTATCATGGATAAAGAATGGATGCATGAACCAACATTTTCTAAGAGATATGTTGAGGGTGTTCAATCTTTTATGAAACTTTTTCGGTCTCATTTTGATCTGAACACTAAAATTCGATGTCCATGCCAAGACTGTTGAATATAAATTTTCAAACACAAGAAGTAGTGTTTGACGACTTGTTTATAAAAGGGATTATGAAAGATTACGTGCAATGGATATACCATGGAGAACAAACAATCACAAAGGAGAGATAATGATGAAGCATGTTGAAAAAAATATAATGTAAGCAATCTTCTACCATTAATAAATTGCATTGTAAAATGTAGAAATGCTTTTGTGTGTTTGAGGCTCCTTTTATTGTAGGTGTTTGTGATTTTTGTTCTGTTTTTCTAATGCAAAATTTTAAAACTATGGTGTCACGTCCCGAGCCTACACCCTGGACGTGGCTGGCACCCGAAGACCATTGCTGGCCCCCAAGAGAACCCTTGGCCTGACTTTCTTAACTCAGTGAAAACTTAACTCAACAACATAACTCAAAGCAATGCAAGGTTATAAAACAACCCAACTGATAACATCTGGCCAAAAAGGCAACTCGAGTCCCAAAAATAGAATATTTACATATATACATAGATGAGAGACTCCAAACTAACTGACTGACTGTCTATGAAGCCTCTATAATACTGAGATAGATGTTGGGACAGACCCCGCAACACCCTAAAAAAAACAAAACTAAGACACCAAAATAACCGAGTCCTCCGGAATGCAAAGAGACTCACCACTGACTCTGAAGTGCTCAGCTGGATCAACAGCGTGCTGGAGGTTGATCCGGGGTACCTGCGTCCGCATCATAATAAGATGCAGGCCAACTGGCATCAGTACATGGAATGTACGAGTATGCGAGCTGGAAAGCTAAACCACAACTTAAGCTTGAAAGGAGTACAAGAGAACACTTACCTTGGCTCTATTCAATTCATGAATAATTGAACGCAATATATAAAGCAATAAGACACATGCAATATATAAATAGCTTGTAAAACAGTGTAAACAACTTAGCTCGTTAATGATAAAGCAATAACAACTCAACTTTGCTTATATAAAAGTAATATATCTTTTGTGGAAGATTCTTTAATCGACAACCACCACTATGATCCCTAGTGGTGATACAACGTTTTACCTCACGTTGCCCAAGGACCATCCTATACCTTGCTGTGATATAGGACCTTACTTTACTTAGTGGATCCACTAGCTTAATCTTACGTGGTCATCTAAAAAGAATGACCCGTCAAGTCCCATGTTGGCGCATGGTTCTTATGGAGAGTTGAGTTAATATGAACTCGTGTCCCCAATTCGGTGCTCAATACTACTCCCAAAAATACTTTGGCTCATAAGTGTCTTTAAACACATCTTGCTTTAGTTGAGGTAATTACTCAAAACTTAGCCCAAAGGCTCTTTTGGAAAACATGGTTCCCCTCTTACTCAAATGTAAAAACATTTATAAACTTCTTTGGGAATACTTAGTTCACTAATAGCTTTTGAGAAATGAACTCAACTTTAGACTCTTGACTTAACTTGAAACTCGATACTCTTTACTTGACTTGAAACTTGAACCTTAAAACGAAGTTAAAACGTTCAATAAAGGCTCTTGAACAACTTTGAAAACTTACTTTGACTTACTTCTTTAACTTCTAGACTTGACCCTTAACTTCACTTTGACTTGATCCTAACTCGCCTTGAATTGGATTGTGGATTCAAGGTATATGATCACACGTTTATGGATGAGTTCTTGACGTTTAGACGTACTTTGGAGTGTTGGAAACAACTATGAAACATAGGTACAATACCAAGGAACATGTATGAGAAAGTATGAAAAGAATGGGGAAACTTGGAGTCCTTGGCGCTCTGCAAGGCGCGGAGCGCCAACCCTCGAATCTCAGAGGGACTGCTGGGGCGCACTGCTAGGCGTGGCACCCCAAGGGAGAAAGCTCAGAAGCTCTTTTGGGGTGCGCTAGCAGGCGCGACGCGCCACTCCTTTCCCCAGAAAACTTGACTTTTCTTTCTCTTTTTCCCAACTCTAAACCACCCTAACTTCAAAGGTTTCAACCCCAAACACTAAGGATAAAAAAAATCCCTCAACATACAAGAGATTCAACTCAAAAACACAACCAAATCACGTCCCAAATCGACAAGAATTTCAACAACACAACCAATATTTTCTTGAAAAGAAAAGAGTTTGGAATGTGGGGGAAGGGACCAACCCCAACACTATGAACTCACATACCTAGTAGGGATCACCCCCGACGATATCCACGACGATCCTTGACGAAACCTTGCTTCTTCTTCTCTTTTCTCCTCTTCTTCTCCTCTTTTCTCAAGAACCCTAACCCTCACTCTCACTCTTTCTCTTTTAAAATGGGACAAAACTGATCTAAAAATCAGTCTAACTCAACAATATAACCAAAAGAATTGGTTAGGGAAAAGACCAAAATACCCTTAAAATTTCCGGATGGATTTCCTTGCCAACTGCCCAACTTCCATAGGGCATAACTCACTCATACGAACTCGGAATCGAGAAAACTCGGCGGCTTTGGAAAGATCATTCCAAGGGATTTCCAAAAATAACTGGAACTACTCCCAAATCTTCCTGAGCTAGGAGTTATGACTGCTCAAAGTTGGCCAAAAACTCACTTTTTCCCACGCTTAACCAATTTTTCAGATTTTTGAATTCCTTCAAAAAAATGACGATTTCCAATTCTAAGCCTCTTCGTAGTTATTTCAAATTGTCGGATGTTACATATGGTATCTACATTCTCTGAAATATGGATCTGTAAGCCACATTTTAATATGAAATATTGTGTTTAGATACCTTTTTTTTTGTCAATAGCATCAAGGTCTACGAATCAATTGTGGATTACAATGTTGTTGAAACTTTTATTTGATGTTAAGGTTGTAATAAGAAAGGTTCGTCTATCTGTTTTTTATTTTCAATTTAAGTTATTAACCTTACGAGATGAGAAAATCTATGTTACTTTCATCTGAGAAAAGAAAACCGATCTATATATATATATATATATATATAAACACATAGCATAAGTTCATTAACAAAATTTCACTTTTCAACAAATAACAGCAAGTATGAGAAGAAAGAAAATTAGAGGAAATGTCAGTTTTCCATGAATGTATTATAAGTTCATTCCAAATACAAAAATGTCAGCTTCCATGAATGAATAAGTTCACTCCAATTACTGGAAAAATACAAAGAACAGTATTTATTAGAGGAGTTTTATTCCAATGCTTTCATATAAAGCTTCCAAAAATACTCTCATCTCTTTACAGTTTTCTTCTTCAATTGATCACATTTCGACACTTTTGTACAATATTGTTCAAGAATTGCTTGTGTGGCACGGGCTATGGCAGTTGACACGGAGTTTTAAAAAAATAAAATAAAATTTTAAACTTGTCGTCCTAAATTAATTAAAGTTATATCAAATGTATCAAAATGTCATTTAATCTTTTGGTCTTGAACATGTTATGTGGAAAACTGAAATTAAAATGTTGCCAAAAAAAAAAGGAAAGACGTCATTCTTTTTAAAACGGACTAATAAGGAAAATAGGTTATTCTTTTTTAAATGTAGGGAGTAAGATAATATGCTTCATATTGTATATTCATGATTCTTCCTGGAATAAATCTATTACTCAAGAAAGATCATATAGTTAAATAGATTGAAACTTAATTTAGAAGTTATTTAGTAAAGTATTATTCCAAATGCTTTCATAAGAAGCAACATAATCATATTTTTAATGACATAATATATATATCCTAAGGGTATTTCTTTCGAAGTTGTGCAATCTCTGTCTTATTCAGCTGGAAGCCTTTGGCAAGAATGTCGTCCATGATAGGCAGTTCTGAAGCAAAGATTGAACTAGGAATCGCAATAAGTCCAGGATTTTGACTGTTGTAAGAGCCAAAAACAACAGCTTTTTTGTGTCCCACATTATACAGGAAGTGAATAAGACCTATTGGAAACACAAACACATCGCCAGGATTCAAGATTTTGGAGAAGAGGCGACTTTTAAAGAAGTTTGCAGGATCAGGGACAAGAAATCCTATGTACAGAGTACCCTTCAGGACAGTTATCAGCTCAGTAGCTCGAGGGTGCGTGTGAAATGGAGAAACACTTTGTGGTTCAATGTCAGCACGAGAAGTAGAAATACCAAGAGTGTTAAGTCCAGGCACTTCTTTTACACCCACAATAGTTACAGCAATACCATACTTGGGGAATACATCTCTACTAAAATTAAGACTTGAAAAATAGAAATCATTTGGTGTTGCAAGCTTTGGGTCTTTGCAAATCTTTCAATTCACTAAAACTGCACAGGTAAAATAAAGTATAGCTATAACTATAAGCAACAAATTCAGATTACAAAAACTATGCCTCATTCCGAAACAAATAAATAATATAGAAGGAGGATTAACCTGAAGCGTGAGAGTTGTTAACAGCAACACATATGTCCTGTAGAGGGTTGTTATCATAAGCATAAGCAGGGGAATTACAAATGAAAGAAGTAATGACTAAACTTGTTATGAACAACCACATGCTCATTATTATGCTTTGGGTTTGTTATGATTTTTTTCAAACAACCAGAAATTAGGTGTGACTACTTATACTCTCATCTAGTTGAAATATACGAGAAAAATATTATGTGTTGAAAATTCTGCGTCAACACTATTTGATAGGGCTGGTATAGAGTTCCAGATGAACCAATTAAATGGTGTCACGAATTCATGTAGAGATTCGCAGGTTAGTCCATATTAGGAAGAAGGGTAATTTAAGGCGAGAAAATAATAGGTTGGGCTGACTAATAATAGATAGATGAAACGTAAAGTAAAAGATATTGCAATAGGTTAGGTACAATTTTGACCATTCATCGTAAAATAAACCAAAGTTCAGTACTTTGCTCTATCTTAGCATATTTATTCCTGTTACCCAAATGAGAATCGTTGTCTCTTCCAAATCTAGTTGTAGATTTTGGCAAAAAACTTAAACCCCATGAGTTCATTGCCATACTTAATAAGTATTATTGAGATAATTTAATAGTGGATTTTAGAACTGGTTCGCAACACTATGTAATATAGTCTTGTAAAAAAATTACAATGGAGTTACATCTTGGTTCATTCATCAACTTGCAACTTACTCAAGTAATAAATTATAGAATGTAGCAAGTTGACTCAAAATGTAAAATAGAAGAGGGAGCAATGAATCTTAAAGTTGAAAAATGAAAAGCTAAAAGGGAGGTAGCTAGTAAAAAAAAAGAGATGATTGAATTAACTGTCAAGTGCCATTTTGTAATTTTTCAATATATATAGGCACAAATTAAGATTTAAAATAGAGATAAGTTTTTTAAAGGATTGTGAAAATAACTCCCAAATTTTAGCATCAATTTTTTTTTTGGATAGACTTTGGATAAAGTATCTCTTGCTTCCGAACACCTGTATTTCGCCTCAGACCTGTATTTTCACACTTTTCGACCTGTATATGAGTGTATACTGATATATATCAGTGTATACAGGCTGTATCTCAGCTTGTTTTCAGCTTTCTGAGACTTGATTTCAATTTCCAGCCCCTGTACAGCCCTATTCGGATGACCCGGCTGACTCAAACAAAAGAAAATTTGGGACCCTATGGCTCAATCATCGAAATGCAACGAGAGGGTGGAAGCCCATGAGGACTCGGACATATTTCACATGCAATAAAAAGGATGATAAGAAATTAGAATTGTCATAAACAATAATTAAATGTGCAATCAATGGGATGTAAGAAGATAAATATCTAAGATACAAGACAAAACATGATATCATTGATCAAACAAGCAAACTAATTAAGGAAACTTACTACATTTATCGAAAACGAGTATTCACACGACACATTCTTTAATTAAACTAAGTCGCATGGTGGTGCCCTATCAAAGCCACATGCCAAGTTTCATCAACTCATTTTGAATTCATTGCTATGCCAAAATTCATGCTTAATCTAATTAATGTAAAATAGACTAACCAACATGAATATACCCATTTTAAGAATTGAACCTACAACAATCTTAATAAGGAGCAAGGCTTAAAGAAAGGTAACAACAAGTTTTTAACAGAATGGATAAGAGCATTAATACTCTTGACAAAATAGCCCTCCTCAAGTATCCACTATATACCAATGCAATATTTTTCAAATGATCAGAGAGTAAAAGAAAATAAAAATAAAATAAAATAAAATCAATAAAGCGTCACAATGAACTTGAACATCAACGGATAGAGATTACACATTCAACATACATCTAAAGATAAGGAACTATACTAATCTTAAATTTATTAAAATCAGATTAGGCCATATATATAGTGCTAAGGATGTCATTACCTGCATGGTTTTAAATACAAGAGGATGTTTATAGTGTCAACTTACTAAACCAACATGCTAAAATTGTTGCGGACAAATAGGCTATCAAATAATTGACTTTTTATCAAGACCATACTCCAACACCAAATTAAAAAAAAACATATAGATGTCTTAAGATGTATAAAAGAGTTAATCATGTGATAGGAATTAGAATAGAGACATAATGTTGGTCTTAGATGTACACAGAATGCATCTGTAACATCCGGCAATATAAAATAATTGAAGAGGCTTAGAATTGGAAATTTTCATTTTTTTTGGAAAGAATTTAAAGTTTTGGAAATTTTGGCCAACTTTGAACAGCCATAAATTCTAGCTCAGGATGATTTAGGTGGAATTCCAGTTATGGTTGCAAAGTTCGTGGAACGACCTTTCCAACGCCACCGAGTTTGCTCGATTCCGAGTTCGTATGAGGGAGTTATGACCTTCGAAAGTTGGGCAGTTGACAAGGAGATCCGTCCGGGAATCATTAAGGGCATTTTAGTCTTTTCCCTAGCCAATTCTTTTGAGCTCATATTGTTGTATTAGGAGGATCTTTGGATCATTTTTTGTCCCATTTTTGGTAAGAGAAAGAGTTAGGGTTCTTGTGATTGAAGAAGAGAAGAAGGAGAAGAAGAAGAAGAGAAGAAAGAGGAGATTTGTCAAGACCATTGTGGAATTTCGTCGGGGGTGATCCCTATCAAGGTATGTGAGTTTTTTCCGTGTGGGTTGATCCTTTCCCCCACACACCCCAAGTTTATTCCATGCTTTGAGAAAAGATTGGGAGTTTGTTATTGAAGTGTTGAAGTTGTTAGTTGTTAGTTGTTGTTGAGGTTGTTGGTGGTGTTGTTGAATTTATTGTACGTTGTGAGACATGATTGGGTCGTATATTTAAGTTGAAACCTATTGTATGTTGAGGGGATTATGATTCTAAGAGCTATGACCCTTTAGAGGTTGATCCACCATCGATTTGCAGAAGTTTCTGGGCTGTCGATCCCCATCTACGGGACTGACCTACGGACCGTAGATAGATCAACGGTCCGTACTGGTCAACCGTCGATTGGGACAGAAGTTGGGGTTATGGGGAGTCGATCTACGGTCCGTGACCTGACCTACGGACCGTAAGTCCGTACCGTAGGCCAACACTTAGTCTTTTTCTTAAATGAAATTCTGGGGAAAATCTCTGACGCAATCTACGGACCTGCAGTACGGACCGTAAGTCCATCTACGGTCCGTCGATGGCGACCGTAAGTCCCATCTGTGTCACCAGAAATCTGAAGTCTCAGCCAAGTTTCCCCTCTTCTTTTCTCACTTTCTCATACATGTTCCAAAGTAATTTACCTATGTTTTATAGTAGTTTTCGACGTTTCAAAGTGCGTCTAAGCGTTCAAGAATCCTTCCATAACATGTGATCGAACACCTTGAATTCATAATTCCAATTCAAGGAAAGATAGTTCCAAGTCAAGTGAAGTTTCAAGTCGAGTAAGAGTCTTAGTTTCAAGCTAAGTCATGAGTTTAAAGTTGAATTCTCTTCAAAAAAAAAGAGAAAGCTATTAGGGAACTAAGTATTCCCAAAGGAGGTTGTAAATGCTTTTATATTTGAATAAGAAGGGAATCCTGTTTTTTTTTCCCAAAGGAGCCTTTGGGCTAAAGTTTTGAGTAAGTATCTCAATCAAAGAAAGAAGTTATTTTAAAAGCATGAGCCAAAGTATTTTTGGGAGTAGTATTGAGCACCGAATTAGGGACACGAGTTCATATTAACTCAACTCTCCATAAGAACCATGCGCCAACATGGGACTTGTCGTATCATTCTTTTTAGATGATCACGCAAGATTAGGCTAGTGGATCCACTAAGCAAAAGTAAGGTCCTATATCGATGGCAAGGTATAGGATGGTCCTTTGGCAACGTGAGGTAAAACGTTGTATCATCACTAAGGCTCGTAGTGGTGGTTGTCGGTTAAAGAACCTCCCACAAAAGCTGTTTTATGTTTATAAAAGAAAAGTGGAGTTTGTTGTCATTTTATCCTTAACGATCTAAGTTGTTTACAATCTTTTACAAGCTTTATATGTGTGGCTCGTGTCTTATTGCTTTACTTTGAGTCCAGTTATGTATATGAGTCGTTTAGAGTCAAGGTAAGTGATCTCTTGTTCCCTTTTCAAGCTTAAGTTGTTTTTAGCGGTCCAGCTCGCATACTCGTACATTCCACGTACTGATGCCAGTTGGCCTGCATCGTTTTATGATGCAGACGCAGGTACCCAGGATCAGCACCCTGCACGCCGTTGATCCAGTTGGGCACTCTAGAGTCAGTGGTGAGCCTCCTTGCTTCCAAAGGGCTCAGTTATTTTGTTCTCTTAGTTTTGTTTATTAGGGTGTTGTGGGGTCTGTCCCAACATCCATCTAAGTATTTTAGAGGCTTCATAGACAGTCAGTCAGATAGTTTTGAGTCTCTTATCTATGCATATGTGTAAGTATTCTATTTTGAGACTCGAGTTGCCTTTTTGGCTAGATATGTATCATTTAAGTTGTTTATGCCTCTGCATAGCATTGAGTTATTTTGTTGAGTAGGTTTCCGCTGAGTTAAGAAAGCCAGGCCAAGGGTTCGCTTGGGGCCAGCAATGGTCTCCGAGTGTCGGTCCCGCCCAGGGTGTAGGCTCGGGGCGTGACAAACTTGGTATCAGAGCACAGAGTTCAAGAGTCCTAGGGTGTCTATGAAGCCGTGTCTGTAGAGTCCTAGTTATCGGTGTGAAGCGCGCCACATCTATAATTGGGAGGCTACAACATTTAGGAAGGTTTCCCATTTTTTTCATACTCCTCTCGTGCGCTAGAGTTGATCTCTAAAGAGTTTCCTTTTAATCCGTGCTTGCGCGTGTTTTCAGATAGTCATGCCTCCACGAAGAGTTGGTAGAGGGCGTCTTCCTAGACGCTATGTTGATGAGCAAGAGTTACCCTATGCACCGGGAGTGCAAGATCAAGGGGAAGTTTCTAATGCCGAGTTCAGAGAGGCAATTAGGATGTTGAGTCAAGTTGTAGCCAATCAGGTGGGTCAGCAAAGGGGAGTTCGACATTAAGGAGCTGACACTTCAAGGATCCGTGAGTTCTTGGGGATGAATCCTCCGAGTTTCATGGGATCAAGCACTACTGAGGACCCAGAGAACTTCATTGAGGAGTTGAAG